TTGGGTGAGCACAAATGACGGCCATAAGGCCCTTTAAATAGGTCTCAAACCCCGGAAATTAGGGTTTCACCACACAGCGTGGACTTGCCGAGTCCACTCTTGGACTCGCCGAGTCCGGACGCGAACCCGTGCCCAATACCGCGATCCTACTCGGCGAGTTTGAGCTCCAACTTGCCGAGTCCACTCACAATTTCCAAAAATAAACCAAAAATAAATACCTGGAAATTCTGGGTTGTTACAATTCTCCCCCACTAGAACTAGACTTCACCCTCGAAGTCTCACTCTGCAAATAACTCCAGATGCTGCTCTCGCATCTCACGCTCCGGTTCCCACGTCATCTCGGACCCCTTCCGATGCTGCCACTAAACCAAGACCAAAGGTATTTCCTTGTTCCTGATGGCCACGTCATCTCGGACCCCTTCCGATCTCTGATGGCCACTGGTCTCTCAGCATAATTCAGGCTCGCATCCACCTGAATATCATCTAATGGAACCACTACCGACTCATCGGCTATACACTTTCGTAATTGCGACACATGGAAAGTGTCGTGAATCTTCCCCAACTCTGCTGGCAAATCCAAGCGATAGGCTACCCTGCCTACCCTCGCCACTACCCGAAATGGATCGATATATCGGGGCCCCAACTTGCCCCTCTTCCTGAATCGGATCACTCCCTTCCAAGGAGAGACCTTCAGGAGCACAAAATCACCGACCTGGAACTCAAGTTCGGACCGGCGTCTATCCGCATAACTCTTCTGTCGACTCTGAGCAGTCAGTAACCTTTGTCTGGCCTGCTGGATCTGCTCTGTCGTCTGAAGCACTATCTCCGTGTTGCCCATAACACGCTGCCCGACTTCTCCCCAGCAAATGGGGGTCCGACACTTCCTCCCGTACAACAGCTCAAAGGGTGCCATACCGATGCTCGAATGATGGCTATTGTTGTAAGAAAACTCGGCCAACGGCAAATACGTATCCTAACTTCCCCCAAAATCCAATACACATGCTCGGAGCATGTCCTCGAGGGTCTGAATCGTCCGCTCACTCTGTCCATCTGTATGAGGGTGATATGCGGTACTAAAATGCAGCCTAGTACCCAACTCCTCATGGAACTTCTTCCAGAACCTGGAAGTGAAATGCACATCCCGGTCGGAGACAATCGAGATCGGCACCCCATGCCGAGATACCACTTCCCTTACATATATCTTTGCTAACTTCTCTGCGGAAGAACTCTCACTGATGGCAAGGAAGTGAGTGCTCTTCGTCAACCTGTCCACAATCACCCAAATTGCATCAACTCCCCGAGTAGTCCTTTGCAATTTGGTGATGAAATCCATGGTGATCTGTTCCCACTTCCATTCGGGAACCTCCAATGGCTGCAACTTACCATGCGGCCTCTAATGTTCGGCCTTAACCTTACGGCAGGTTAAGCACCTCTCAACGAACCACGCAACATCTCTCTTCATACATGGCCACCAATACTCCTTCCTCAAATCCAAATACATCTTAGTGGCCCCAGGATGGATCGAGAATTTCGACCGATGAGCCTCTTCCATCAAAATGGCACGCGTACCTCCCACGAACGGTACCCCAAATACGCCCCTGAAAAGTCATAAGCCCCCGACCATCGGTAACGAACTCCGATACCAATCCAACAACTCGCTCTCTCTTCTGGTTTTCCGACCGCACTGCCTCAGCCTATGCTCCTCGAATGGTGTCCAACACCGGAGTCATCACGGTCAAACACAAACATACACCTCGCAACAGGGCACTCTCCGCCCGAAGACTCAGGGCGTCGGCTACCACATTAGCCTTGCCCGGATGTTACAGGATCTCACAATCATAATCCTTAACCACATCCAACCACCTCCTCCTCTGCCGCATATTTAGGTTAGGCTGATCCATTAAATACTTCAGACTCTTATGGTCCGTGTATATCGTACACCGAACCCCATACAAATAATGGCGCCAAATCTTGAGGGCGAACACCACTGCCCCCAACTCTAGATCATTGGTGGGATACCTCGACTCATGAGGCTTCAACTGCCTCAATGCATACGCTATCACATGCCCTCTCTGCATCAGTACCGCTCCCAACCCCCAAAATCGATGCATCGCAGTATACAACAAAGTCCTCCATTCCCTCCGGGAGGGCTACCACCGGGGCCTCGCATAACCTTTGGTGAAGCGTCTCAAAGGAGGCTTGCTGCTCGGGGCCCCATGAAAAAGCAACACCCTTCCAGGTCAACCTAGTGAGTGGCACTGCGATCTTAGAGAAATCCCTGATAAATCTCCGATAATAACCGGCCAACCCTAGAAAACTCCTGATCTCGGAGGGTGACCTCGGCACCTCCCAACTCATCACTGCCTCCACTTTGGCCGGATCGACCAATATCCCATCCTGGTTAACAAGATGTCCTAGGAACTGGACCTCTCGCAACCAGAAATCACACTTAGAGAATTTGGCATAAAGCCTCTCCGATCTCAGAACTCCGAGGATCTCCCTCAAATGCTCCTCATGTTGCTCCCTAGATCTCGAATATACCAAAATATCATCAATAAATACGATCACCGACCGATCCAACATCGGCCTGCATACCCGGTTCATGAGATCCATGAACACTGTCGGAGTATTGGTGAGCCCGAAAGGCATCACCACAAACTCATAATGCCCATAACGTGTCCTAAACGTTGTCTTCTGGACGTCCTCATCTCGTACCCTCACCTGAAGGTATCCAGACCTCAAATCGATCTTGGAGAACCAAGATGCTCCCTGCAACTGGTCGAACAAATCGTCGATCCTCGGCAACGGGTAACGGTTCTTGACCGTCAGCTTGTTCAACTCCCGGTAATCAATGCACATCCGGTGTGAACCATCCTTCTTCTTTACAAACAGAATGGGCGCTCCCCACGGTGAGCTACTCGGACGAATAAACCCTTTCCCCAGCAGCTCCTGAAGCTGCGAGGATAACTCTTGCATCTCTGGAGGTGCAAGACGATAAGGCACCTTAGCGATTGGCGCGGCCCCCGGGACCAAATCAATACCGAACTCTACTTGCCTCACGGGAGGCACTCCCGGAAACTCCTCTGGAAAAACATCCGGGAACTCACGCACTATAGGATCCTCCTCCACCGACCTCGGCCTCCTGGAATCCACCCGCGTATTTGACACGTACGCCACAAAACCCTTACAGCCCTGCTGTAAACACTGCCTCACCCTAGCGGCCGAACAAAATGTTGATCCATAACGAGTACCCTCGTTGTACACTGTAAGAACTCCCCCACTAGGGTCTCGTATGGTCACTAGCTGCCGCTCGCGGTCGGTAACCGCACCGAACTTGCTCAACCAGTCCATGCCCACGATGACACAAACATCCCCCATGGCAATAGGAACCAAATCAATCGGGAACTCAACACCGAAAATCTCGAGTACGCACCCACGGATCACCTCTGTGGCATATATCACCTTCTCGTCAGCTATGGAAACTCTTAAAGGCCGACTCAACACCTCGCGACTAACACTGATGTGCTGACTAAAAGCCAAAGATACAAAGGACCGACTCGCACCCGAGTCAAATAATACCAAGGCAGGTACAGAATTCACAAGAAAAGTACCTACGCATAACATGATATAAGCATAATATTTCAACATTATAATAAATACAAGAAAGAATACATACCAGCCACGACATCGGGCGCTGCGCGGACCTCCTCCGCGGTCAATTGAAATGCTCTCTCACGTGCCCTCAGCGCCTCGGCCTTCACTGGCCCACTCCCGGTAGCTCTGATGGCGGCAGGGGCAGATCCTTGAGGTGCTCCCTGAGCTGATCCCCGCAACTACAGACACTCCGCCTTCCAGTGTCCGGTCTGGTTGCAATGAAAACATACTGCAAACCCCTTGGGGCAGTCCTTGGCCATATGCCCCTCCTTGCCACATTTGTAGCAAGATCCCGCTCTACACACTCCATCATGACCCTTGCCGCACTTTCCACAAGTGCGGCCCTTCTGGCTCCCTAATTTGGGATCAGCGGGCTTGGCCCGCTTGGCTGCCGGCTGGAATTGTGCCGGTCGTCGATCCCTCCCATGAGACTCAGCCTCCTCCCTAGCCTGGGTCTCCAGCTCGATCTCCCTCTTCCGGGCATTTGCCTGAAGCTAAACAAATGTCCGGTATGAGGAGTTCGCCACGAACTCCCGAATGTCACGTCTCAAAATACTCAAATATCGACTCATACGTGCCTGCTCAGTGGACACGTGCTCAGGGCAGAACATCGCCCTCTCATGAAACATTCTGGTAATCATCGTAACAGACTCAGTGCCCTGCTTGAGGGTCAGAAACTCCTGGGCCAAACGCTCCCTCTCCACCTGGGGAACGTACTCATCTCGGAACATGGCAGTGAACCTCTCCCAGGTCACTGCCGCAAGCTCAGCAGGCGAAAAGTGTGCTGTGACAAACTTCCACCAGTCCTTCGCTCCCAAGCGAAGCTGGTTCAGCGCGAACCGTACTCTCAAATGCTCAGGAGATGAGCAAGTGAAGAAACACCCGTCTATGTCAGAAATCCATCTCATAGCCGCCACCAGGTCCTGGGTCCCATCAAACTCCGGTGGTTTCGTGTTGCTGAACTCCTCATCCTAATAATTGAAAGCATATCAGTAAATATATGATATGAACTTTCCACTCATCAATGTGATCTTTTATGCGGGTGTAGAAGTTCAATTTCGAAAACAAAGATGTTTTTATACTGAGAAGCGAATGCGTTTCAATGTAAAGTCAAAAGCATAACTTTGGACAGTAAAGTAAATACATGGTACTATAGGGGTCAAATGAGAAAATTTATAGCTGTTAGTTAAAATTTAAAACAGATTAGCAGCACAAGGACAAGACCGTCAATTTACTCGGACTCGTGCGATTGGTAGCTAATATATAACAGTCCAAGCAAAATCGATTCTCTCCCAAATGCTTCCCTGAACTCTTCTTTTGGCGCCATATTCCAATCTTAACGTTCCATGAGAGGTGCATCAATGGTGGCCTCAACCGACGGTTCTTCTTCTTCTGGTTTATGGACTCAATGTAACGCTTTGTTCAGAAAGAATTTGAACTTTCAGGTTTGATTTTTATGTTTATGCGTATTTTGATCTCGTGTCGTTAATGAAGAGTAGTCGTTTATGATTAATCTTGTAAGTTGTTCCCCATCTTTTCTTCAAACCAGAGAAGGAATGTCAAGACAAATCTGAGGCTCATATTATTCCCACTCGTCCTCTGTTTGCTACTTGTATCACTACAAACAATAGTCAACATCGAACTAGATAAAGCCTTCCTAAAATGTGGTTGCACTTGTATTGATAAAGATGGGGATGGTGAATGCGAGAGAGTGTGTGGGATTGAATACTCAGATTTGGACCAAGTGGCTACGTGTTCCATTCCTAGTCCACCTGAATGGCCTCCATTATTACAAGTACCAGCTCCACAGTATCGAGCAGTGAGAACTGATCGTTTGCTTTCATTTGGAGATTTTCCTGATGACTCCTGCACAAGTACACCTTCCAGCTGCCCTACAACTGTACTTATGACTGGAAATAACCAATCTCTTGGAGAGAGTATGTCAACTTTAATTATCTATCTCTAATTTCCTAACCTTATTATTTTTGTCAGTATATCTGATCAGCATATAAAATTTTCTGCTTCATGTATACGCGCGTATGTATATTTGACAGGTTTGGCTAGAAATATGTTCTCAAGTTCATTCAATTATAACTCATCCAATGGCCTGGCTGATGTTGTATTGGTTAGTTACTACCTATATGTATATCATCAGATGATCATGCAGATATACATAATACATGTGTCATGTGTGTGATGAAAATTAAATTAATATTTTTTTGGTTTTCTGGCATGATTCAGGGGACAACTGCTCACACTAAGAAATCAAGCTTTCTTGAGCCATCTTTCTTCTCGGGTTTTCCGGTCTACTATCTTCAATCTCAGTGCCGAGCCAACTCCACTTTTTCTATTTCGGTCCCACTAGCATCCACGATAGTGGAGAAAGGTATAAGTTTTTCATTTTTGCTCTCCCTGCTTTTATTTATATTCTAGTGTTCAATTTGGTTTTATGGAACCCAAATTGATCCTTTGCGATCACTTAATTTAATTATAAGAAAAGAGAGTTGATTAGTTTTTTTCTATGTACATGTACAGCAATATGTGCTTTAAAATGTTATATTATACAACTATATAAAACATAAATTGTTATATACAAAGATTGTTGTTAACCAATCACTTCGTATAAAAAATGATATAGAAGCAAAAATTGTCAATGATGGCCTGATGGAATTAAATTTGCAATTTAATCCAATAATGCATAAATTTAATTGCTAACCTTGAAAATCAACGGATATGATGATCCACATATATGGAGGAAGCTATTAGCCAAGGGTGTCTTCTTAGTTTATATATGGATATGTAACTATTAAAAATAGAGATAGATTTTATAGATTGATTTAATTGCTCTCCCGTGCTTATCATCAGAGGTATATTAATATATTTGTTAGTAGCAATAAGTCCCGCGTGCTTTCCAATTTAGACCTTTACTTTAGGGTTAACCACCTAGTCTTTGATCTTTGTCTACATTTAAGTAAATATATTTTTTCGTGCACATTTGACCATTAAACTTGTTTGACTTGTTTAAAATAGGATAATATGATTGGTAATTACCGGTGATATTACCTTATTTTGAACATGTCAAACAAGTTTTTACCAGTCAAATGTGTACGGAAAAAAAAAAACATGATTGCCTAAATGTGGAAAAGTTCCTTACCCGTTTTCATAATATTGAGTTCATTATGATTAATGCAAGTAGTCATAAGACACACTGGTGTGACATGGAATTGAGTCATCGGGTCTTGGTGTCAAATATGGATTGTAGATCTATAGTAGGTGTTGTTGGTGAGTTTCTGATTTGATTCCTAGTTACCATCAGAGAACAAAACCATTAGACCGCCTTAAGGACTATAACCCGGGAGCATGCTCTGACGATCAATTTAGATCGATGTGTATAAAGAGATGGTCAAGTCTTGGGTCAACCCACTTTAGGCCCAGCTAGCCAGGGGATGGGCTATATGTGTTTTAGAGACCTGGCAACACAACCTAGCCCACTACTAGTTGGGTCTAAACTAGACTGGCCTAAGCCTAATCTAATTGTCCATTGACCTAGATCTGTAAATTGAACACCTCCTCCTCTATAAGGAGGATCTCTCATTTTCAAACATGAGCCTCTATTGTGTATATACACTCTTCCCACCAATATGGTTTTCCATCCAGGAGAAACCATCTCCTCATACACATCTATATAACCTGACTGTCAAAGCGTGTTCCTAGGGCACAGTCCCTCAGACAGTTCTAATGGTTTTGTTCTTATCTGGCAGCTAGGAATCAAGTTAGGAACCCGTTGATGACACCTACTCAAGATCTAACACCAAGACCCGATGGCCCAATTTTATGTCACATCAGCATGTCTAATGACTATTTGCAGTTAGCGGTTAGCATAAAGAATTCAATATTACGAAAAAGAATAAGGAATTTTAGTTTTTGTCCATATTTATGTAACCATGTTTTTTCGTACATATTTGGCAAGTAAACTTGTTTGACTTGAAAAGGTCAACCAAGTTTAATAGTCAAATGTGTACGAAAAAACACATGGTTACCTAAATGTGGAGAGAGACCAAAGTTCGCTACCCTTCTATATCATTAACCATTTTAATTTATAACCACCTTACAATTTGACCCCTTTAATCTTCAAGATATACAGATTACTCATTTCAAAGTTAGGATTTGCTTAGTAAAATTAACTTATCTATCTATTTATATCTATATCTATCTATATTATATTATCAAAGATACATTTTTTTTTTCACCACATGTTGAAACCCTTAACCTTCAACCTTCCATCTAATATATTTAATTTGTTAATTTAAATATAATGTTAAACTGAAACCTAAGTCAAATAAAAATAAAATATTTAAAAAAATATTTAAAGATTGTTTTTTTAAATGAAAATCTACTATAAAGTATCTATATTTGGACCTCATATCCAGTTAAGTCTCTATATTTTTTTCTGATTAAGTCTCGAATACCGCTAATTGTATTCATTTTTTACCCTTTTTATCCGGTCATCAGGTCATTCATTTTCAAAATTTTATTAGAAATTTGGTCCAAAATTTATACTTTTGGTCCAGATTTCAAAACTTTCTTACGAAATCATCCTAAATTTAGTATTTTTACATTTTATTTCAAAATTTAATTTTGAATATT